CATATTCCTGCATGTAGCATGTGCAGTCTTCAGAATTCAAAGAAATATGCCAAGTACTATACCTATTTCTTTGTAGTAGCAGATGCAAGATACAGTAACTTATTCTTTATATAGGAAACTGGGATATGACAGACCATTAACACTGCATCTTATAAATCTATGAGGATGGCACTAACACTTGTTATCAGTCTAAATATAATATTGCTTCTGATTTATTACTTGGATCTAGGTGAAAGAAATGTGGTATTAGGGCTTCTACTTGGATCTTCCATTTTCTTTTTATTCCACTGGTCTTGGTAGAAATATAAAGATTGTTCCAACTTAACATCCATCCCAATTATATACAAAGGTTTTAGATAAATGAACAGAGGATGGGTTGACGGCCCATTGGTCTCTTTGAGAGATGGACTAGACTGAGTTATCATTTATCTCTGAGATTTCATATCCTTCCATGCTGCCAAAGGAAACTGTGCGTGGTTAATCAGAATAGAAGGATAATTCATTATATATGATTAGTTCAGAGAGTCTGATATTCACAATTTGTTTTAATATCTGATATGTGGCCACAATAATTCACTATATTATGCAAAATATGTCAGTGTTTTATAGCTGATAATATGTAAATGAAGATGAGAGATGAAACTTACAATGAAAATCTTAACAAATGACCTCCAAATTAGCCAATATGGCCCCAAATCACTAGAGAATCCTCTGTACACACACACACACACACACACACACACACACACACAGATGCACACACACACACACGCACACTCTGTCTCTCTCACTATTCTAAATACTTGATTATGACTCATTTAAAATAATTTATTACAATTAGTTAGCAAGAGCTAAAATAAAATATTATATTTAGACCAATAAACATATACGAAAATTTAGGTTTTAAATGATTGCACTACTAAAAATTACATATTTTTAAATATAGTTAACCTGATACTTTTGTCTGCAAATGAGAAACCAGTATCGCATACTCCAATCCTTCTTTTGGAAATCCTCCAAGATTTTATACAGAGATCAGAATTTATATTCCCTAGAGTAGGAATTACAGCTATAGGGCATCAACTGTGTATACTACTGTTCCTGCAGGATTGTAATGAAAGGATTAGAACAATTTTAAATGCATTATGAAAGGGCAATATCCCTTAGTAATATTAAAAACTAGGTACATACCTGGATAAGTAGGTCTTACTAAGAAAGACTGTTGCCAGAAAATTGAAACACACACACACACACACACACACACACCGATAAACAGTTGTTTCCTTGTTCTAAAAATACGTAATCCACTGTCTTGATATAGGAAACCAAAAATTGAAGAAATTTACCCAGTTAAATCATAAGAGCAATACCCACAACAGCAAAAAAAATCCAAGAAGCAAAAGAACTAATTTAGTGATATCAGTATTACTGAGTTATGGGATCTTCTGGCATCTGTAAGCTACTTTACTTTGGGAAATTAATTTCATGCTTGCCTACTCCTGTGAAACTCCTGACTGAAGGATCTCATGAAGTTTTGGAATGGTCACACAAATGTCAGAAATGTTACTGAAGAAAGTCAAAGAAAAAGCTGTCACCATTTTAGCAGTCAATTATCTTTCTTTTTTCTTTTTTTATCCCCAAAATAAACTATATATCTTCAACTAGGTGTATTAGTCAGTTCTCATGGTGATATGAAGGAATAACCAAGACTGTGTAATTATATAAAAAAAAAGGTTTAATTGATTCAAAGTTCTGCTTGGCTGGGGAGGCCTCAGGAAACACACAATCGTACAGAAGAAACCTATCACAGGGCAGCAGAGAGAGAATGAGTGCCAGCAGGGGAAATGCAAGATGCTTATAAAACCATCAGATCTTGTGAGAATTCACTATCACAAAAAAAGCATGGGGGAAAAATGCCCCCATGATTAAATTACCCCCCACTGGGTCCCTCCCACAACATGTGGGGATCATGGGGATTATAATTCAAGATGAGATTTGGTTAGGGACACAGCTAAACCATATCATTCCACTCTGGCCCCTCCCAAATCTCAGGTCCTCCCATTTAAAAATAATCATGCCTTCTCAACAGTCCCTCACATCTTGACTTTTTCCAGCATTAATTCAAAAGTTCAAGTCCAAAGTCTCATCTGAGACAAAGCATGTAAAATCTAAACCAAGTTAGTTATTTCCTAGATACAAAGGGGGTACAGGCATTGGTGAAATACACCTGTTCCAAATGATTGAAACTGTCCAAAACAAAGGGGCCACAGGCCCCATGCAAGTCAAAAATCCTATAGGGTAGTCATTCAGCCTTAAAGTTCCCAAATGATGTCCTTTAACTTCATGTCCTACATCCAGGTCATGCTGATGTAAGAAGCAGACTCCCATTGCCTTGGGCAGCTCTGCCCCTGTGGCTTTGCAGGTTACTACCCATCTCCCAGCAACTTTATAGCCTGGCATTGATTGTCTGTGGCTTTTCCAGGTACAGGTGCAAGCTCTCAGTGGATATACTATTCTAGGTTTTGGAGGATGGTGGCCTTCTTCTCACAGCTCTGCTAGGCAGTGCTCCAGTAGGGACTCTGAGTGACAGATCTAACCCTACATTTCCCTTTTGCACTGTGCTAGCAGAGGTTCTCCATGAGGGCCTCACCCCTGCAGCAAGATTCTGCCCGGACATCTAGGCATTTCTATACGTCTGCTGAAATCTAGACAGAGTTTTCCAAACCTCAATTCTTATCTTCTTTGCACCTATAGGACCAACACCACACTGAAGCTGCCAAGGCTTGGGACTTGCACCCTCTGAAGCAACAGCCTGAACTCTATGTTGGCCCCTTTTGTCATGGCTGGAGAGGTTGGGATGCAGGGCACCAAGTCCTGAGGTTGTACACAGTAGCAAGGCCCTTGGTCCAGTGAAGGAAACCATTTTTCCCTCTTAGGCCTCTGGGCCTATGATGGGAGGGGCTGCCGTGAAGACCTCTGACATGGCCTAGAGACAGTTTGCCCATTGTCTTGGTGATTAACATTTGGCTCCTCACTACTTTGTAAATTTCTGCAGTGGGCTTGAATTACTCCCCAGAAAATAAACATTTATTTTTTATTGCATTGTCAGGCTGAAAAATTTTTAAACATTTATGTTCTGCTTCCCTTTTAAACATAAATTCCAATTTCAGATTATGTCTCTCAAGCTCAAAATTCCACAGATCTCTAGGGCAAGGGCAAAATGCTGCCAGTCTCTTTGCTAAAGCATAGCAAGAGTGACCTTTGCTCCAGTTCCCAATAAATTCCTTATCTCCATCTGAGACCACCTCTGAGTGTACCTCATTGTCCATATCACTATCAGCATTTTGGTGAAAGCCATTCAACAGGTTTCTAGGAAATTCCAAACTTACCCATATCTTCCTGTCTTTTGGAGTTTTCCAAGTCTCTAGGAAGTTCCAAACATTCCCATATTTTTCTGTCTTCTTCTGGGCTTTTCAAACTGTTCCAACCTGTGCCTATTACCTAGTTCCAAAATCACTCCCACAATTTTGGGTATCTTTACAGTGGTGCCCTACTCTTGGTACAAATTTACTGTATTATTCCATTTCCATACTGCTAAAAAGAACTGCCCAAGACTGGGTAATTTCCGAAGGAAGGAGATTTAATTGACTCATAGTTCACTATGGCTGGGGAGGCCTCAGGAAATGTATTGAAGGCAAAGTGGAAGCAAGGCACCTTCTTCACAAGGTGGTGGGAAGGAGAAGTGCTGAGCAAAGGGAAAAAAAAACCTTATAAAGCCTCATATTTTGTGAGAACACACTCATTATCACAAGAACAGCATGGGGAAACCATTCCCATGATTCAATTACCTATACCTGGTCTCTCCCTTGACACACGGGGATTGTGGGTTTTATGGGGATTATAGTTCAAGATGAAATTTAGGTGTGGACTCAGGGCCTAACCATATCACCCTCTCTCCACTAGCCTGGTATCAATTGACTGTATTAATCCATTCTCATGCTGCTATGAAGAAACAGCTGAAATTGGTTAATTTATAAAGAAAAGAAGTCTGACTGACCCACAGTTCTGCATAACTGGGGTGACCTCAGGAAACTTACAATTACGGCAGAAGGCACATCTTCACAGGGTGGCAAGAGAGAATGATTGCCAGCAGGGGAAATGCCAGATGCTTAGAAAAATTATCAGATCTTGGGATAACTCACTCACTATCATGAGAACAGCATGGGGTAAACCTCCTCCAAGATTCAATTACCTCCCATGGGGTCCCTCCTTCAACATATGGGGATTATGTGGATTATAATTCAAGATGAGATTAGAGTGGGGACAAAACCAAACCGTATCATTGGGGATATTAACTGCCAATGTTATGTGTAAACTTTTGTTTATTAAAATATGGAAAAAGAGAATTTCTCTCTTCCAGGGAAACAGGACCTCATTTTGAAAAACACACCCTTCACATGTTATTTAAAAAAATAACTTATTCAAATATGAAACCTAACACATATAATTTTAAAGACCTTATTTTAGTCTTAGATATCAAATTTATCAACTTAAAAAATTTCTCTACACCAGAATAATTGATTATATTACTATATATTTTTTCTATATAGTAAATTGTTATTCTTTCAAATATATTTAAATGAAAGAATGTATTATCTTTCCTAGTTTTACTTGAAAAAGTATGAGATCAAGATTATCTATCTACATAATAAAAGGAAATTAAATAGAAACTGTAAAAATTGATAAATATAGTTATATAGAGAGAAATAAAGAGACATTCTGGAGTGTCTATCTAAATATTGTGTTGAAAACATGGGTCATACATACCTGGCAGGTATTTAAAAACATACATACTTCAGACATCTATTATTATGTTATCTCTCTTGGGTTTACAAATGAAAATGAATAAGGTTTCGGTGAGGATATGAACAATTAAAATATGAATACTCAAGACTTGCAGAAGTACAGCATTTGGCTGAGCTTTTTCTTTTTATCATCATTATAGAATTCTAATATGAGAGTGAAAGTCACAGAGATATATTCCCAGAGCATCCATCAACACTTGATGCCTGGCTGTGGAAGTGCAGTCACCAGTCCAGTTAACAGCTTCTTCAAATGTAACTTAACTGCCTCTGCCTGAGGCCTTGGTGCGTGGGGCCGAAAAGAAGAGGGAGCTACTTATAACCACCGAATGAGCAAGGTGGGTTATAATAGCTCAGCCATTGTAACCCCACGTGGGGCAACTCTGTTGGTCAGCACTCAATTCAAAGCTACCTACTTGGCTGGTTAAAGCTTTGTCAGAGCTGCAATTAGAACTTCTCCCTCTGCTCAATCCTTTTCTCCCTCTTTTATTTCACAGGTGCCAATCCTTAATAAATATTTTATACCCCAAATCCATCCCAAACCCAGCTGCTTATGGAAAATCCAACATGCCACACAAGTATTCCTATATGTATAATTCTAAAGGTTCCCCTAGACCCACATTGGGCTGTGACTAAACATTTTTCCTGGGCTCCATCCCATCTCTGATGATGCACGGAAATGGCTTTGAGAAAAGAGGATTAAAAAGTGCATGATATTACAAACACTAAAAACTTAGAGCAACAAAATACTTGAAAGATGTAGTTTTGTACGCAATAGTTACATTCAAGTTATGCCTCATTCAGTTTATTTTTCCAGACTTCCACATCTGCTCTCAATCAGGCATTCTGTCTCTAGAACTTCTGTGGATAGTTTGAGATTAAAATGGTGTTTGGAAAACGTGTTTTTTTTTTCTGGGTACCAAAAGATCAAAGATCTTTAGGTCAGAGGAAAAAGATGAGAGGAAGCAATGGACTTTCTCATATTTAGAATAGCTCATTCTATAGAGTGCACTCAATGCCTCTGCTTCTTAGATGTTTCCCTATAGTTTTCAGTTATCAAATCCCATTCGGATCATCCAGGAGTTCTGGCCATTTGGGACGATGTTTCTATTTGCCACAGATGCATGTATAAGAGTTGCCATTGCATGTTTACTGCATGTTAACCACTTTGGTAAGCATTCTATCTGCAGCATCATTTAAAAATGATGTTATTTTATTTATTTAAATATGATGTACATGCATATGATACACATTCAAAATACAACTCTTTCCCTCAGTCTCCCAGGTTGCTGGCCCAGCAGCATATACTTATTTCCCATTTTACCAATGTATGCTCATATTTCATGAGCCATTGATTTTGTTTTGACTTATAACAATTTGGTTATGTGTTCTCATTTTCCAGATAAGAAAACCAAATTTCTCAATGGTTAAATACATATTCCAAGGTTACACAACTAGTGGGGAAAACCAAACAAACACAAAGAAACATTATTTGAACCAAGTATTTCTGATTCCAAAGAAGACCATGCTCTCACCCATTTTGTTGTACTTCCTGCCTAAATGTATTTGAATAAATGCAGTCCCCAGATTCCTTGCTACAATAGTGAACAATGTGAGCAATCAATAGTGAGCAATCCCTTGCTACAATAGTAGCCAGTGTTAACTCATATGATTCATTGTTCAGTAATTTCAAAAAGCATCTCTTCCCCAAGACACTTTCATATATCAAAACATCGTCAGAAAATATTAATTTTCGTAAAAAAATCATATGCATGCCATCCCAAAAATTGTTCCAATAAATATGTAAACAATGATATCTATTTCGCGAATGGTTCCCCTTTGTGTCACAGAGTGCACAGTTGGAACAGCACCATATTGCAGCCCTGATAATGGACACGTTAGCTGCAGCATTTAGTCAGTAAGACTGGTAGTTTCCAAAGAATAGTGAGAATGGAAACATTTAAACAAAAAGATAGAACGGAACTTTCAACAAAGTTGCTATTTCTTTAAAAGGAGATGAGTTTGCAAGGCAGTTACTAGCACCAAAATACATGTAGTGCATGGATCCAGCTGATAGAGAAGATTCAGAGATAGTCAGGCAACTTCAAGACAATGTGAATAAGGAATTTTTTGCAACTTCAAGACAATGTGAATAAGGAATTTTTTTCTACTAATGAGTAACTAGAGGCGATGACTTTGCAGCACATATTAGAGAGAAGTTTATTCTCCTAAGAGAATAATTTCTGAAGATGTAAACCCAAAGTGAATCTTAAGCAATGTAGATATAGAAATCTACATTTTGATAAAAGAATAATAAGAATACTCACATAGGAATGTGATATCCCAAATCTCATTAGTGTTGTGGATGAACACAAGATCAACAGAACAGAAACAAAGCAAGAAGAGAAATGTGAATTAACCAGAACAATAACAAAAAATATCTCGGCCAAATGCCTTTCATTTGTGTTGGTAATTTATAACTGAATGTTAATGGCAATTCTCATCAAAAATTTAGTTTTCATGCTCAATAACATATCAGATAAATAAATACATATATTTCATTCCTTGTTGGGAGTTTATGGTTTAAAACTAATATTTTTATTTTGTTCACAAAATATAAAGTTAATAAATCTCTGAGTTATTATTGCAGAATAGAAATATGTCTGCATGGACTTCACCTGACTACCACTACAGCTGCCTTGATTCTGGAACCAAAAGTAGGCAGTTCAGGTAAGATGAGCATTATCCCATATTTAATTCTCATTTATAACAGGATATACTTAATTTGAATGGCCATATATTGTACACAATTCAAAAACATAAATGAATTTTCTGTTTTGAATCAGGACACATTTCAGAGTAGAGGGTGGTTAGTAACAACTAATAAGCATCTATCAGCTTTTAACTAACATGCCTGTGAAGACAATTGGAAAGCAAAATGCATACAACATTAAAAAGTAGTACTACAAAACCATAATGGAAAACACCATCAGTGGTCCATCCAGGTTATTCATCTCTAAATAGATAAAGCCCTGTTGTAGACTCTGTTATCTGTACCTAAGTTAACAATGGTGGAGAGAGATTATTGAACTGTCATTTCCTCATTGTGTATAAGCTATTTAAAGTAATTTTTTCTCTAATGACAATGTATTACAAGTTAATTATGGAAAATATAGGAAACAGAGATAAACTCAGCTTCCCCCATATTTTGCTACCAAGAAACAGTTAACATTTTACATTGTAATGCCTATCCCATTTAGTCTAATAGTAAATGTCATGTTTCAACTGAATTAATTCCACTGGAATTAAAATCATATTACAGATAGATGTAATGTTTCATTATCATGAATATCTCATCTTCCACTTTACATATCAGTATACATATCAGTATGTCCTGTCCACTGCCCCATACTGGTCATGTATGTGTTAAAACTATATAAACCATGTGGAAAGCATTATATGAATTTGTGTCAATGTCAGTGATGGGGATCCAGGTTTAAAGTTATAGATATTCCTGAGTAAGACACAAAAAATAAAAGAACAAAAGCAAGAAGCAAAGAGACATGCATAAAAATATAATACTTTGGGAGACTAAAACAAAATAAACCGAGTCAATAATTTTTTCACTACCGTAATCCAGATAATAACAACAAGAAATTTTCCATACCTAGAAAATTCTCAAAGGATTTCTATTAATTATTCTCACTTTATAGAAGGAGGTATAGGCACATGGTAAAATTCAAACAATATAAACAAATAATTACAGTAAAATGTTATCTCCTCAGCCAAGACTCCCAGGTCTCATGTCATCTGTAAATGTTTAGTTTGACCTGTTTTAAGATATTCATCTAGAAAGATTCTGTGCATTATGATATATTTTACAGATCCATATGCAAATGTGACAATAACAAAGCACTCTTCAGCACCTTATTTGTACTTAAAAAATGGGGGATTGTTTTATGACAACAGGTAGAGATCCGTCTGATTGTGAAAATTGTTTCCTGGCATTCTATTGCATTACTGTTCCGTAGTGAGTTAAACAGTTTTGATGCAATGTCAGCTATTCTCATATGAACAGTTCTAAAATTAACATACATCCTTTTTCATGTCTGCTTGGGTGTGGTTATATTTGTATTAAACCAAGTGGCATGAGAATTTTAATTTTCACACATAATGTCAAATTGTTCTTCTAAGAGTCACAACAAATTAATATTTTCATGAATGGTTTATACAAGCACCCTGGTTAAACCTACATGATATTAATTTTTTTTTTATCTTTGATAATTTGACTGATGGAATGAAATTTGAACTATTTCAAAATACATTTACTCATTTATTGCTAATTGACTGCAATTTAAGAAACTATTTATATTAGGTTTCCATTGCTGCCTAAACAAATCACTACATACTTGGTTTAAACAATGTACATTTATTATCTAATAGTTTCGTCTGTCAGAAGTCACAGTGGGTTTATCTGAGCCCTCTGCTTAGGTTTTCACAAAGATGATATCAAAAGTTTGGCAGGGATGTGTACCTTACGGGAGGCTCTGGAGAAGAAATCTACCTCAAGCTTATCCAGGTTGTTGGCTAAATTCAGTTCTTTGTGGCTATAGGACTGCAGTGGCCATTTCCTTGCTAGCTCTCAGCTAGGAGTTGGATTGTGTTTCTTCTTCTGCCACATCTTTCACTTGGAGAAATTTATTTGCTTCTAATAGTTCATGTGATTAGACTAGGCCCAATTTAATAGTCCAGAACACTTTCTAACTCTTCAGGTCTGTAACTTTAGTTGCATCTATCAACTTCCTTTTTCCACGTAACATAATATATTCACACATTACAGGAATTAGGGTATTGATTTGGTTAGAGGCAATTCTGCCTATCACACTAGTTTCACACTAGTTTTTTTTTTTTTTTTTTGTAAATTATCTAATCCTGCAACAGAGAATGTATGTTCACCTCTCTTCTAGCCCAAGATTTCACCTATGAAATGCTGGATGACAGGGAAAATATGGTATTCTTACAAATCTTCAGTGGGGAATAATTATAACTATAAATTATGCACTTAGTATTTTAACCTCTCAGGTAACAAATCAACATAAATATATTCACAAATGTACAGAGATCTTAAAAAAATACCACCTTAAAATTAAAAATTACAACATATTCTGAAGACTAACCTATAAGATACAATTATGATTTCAAGAAACTGGAAATTTGTATCAGGCAAGTAATGCATAATGTATGCACATGTGTTTGAAATTTTATCTACCTTCAGGTATTATATATCATAAGGAAACAATCTCAACATTAATAAAATTTATTCAGAGATGGGATAATGGCAGTATAAAACATTAGGATAGAGTTTGAAAATATCATTTCAGCCATTGTGGAAGGAAGCATAATGCTCCACTCTTCAAACATGCACATGTCCTAATCACCAGAACCTATGACTATATTAGCTTTCATGACAAAGCAGGAGTAAAGTTGTGACAGAATTAAGGCCATTAATCATCTGATGCTAAAATTGAATTATTTTCTCCAGGTGACCTCCATGTGTTCACAAGAGTTTTTAAAAGTGAAAGATGGAGGCTGGTCACTGTGGTTCATGCCTATAATCCCAGCACTTTGGGAGACTGAGGCAGGTGGATCACCTGAGGTTGGGAGTTCAAGACCAGCCTGACCAAAATGGAGAAACCCTGTCTCTACTAAAAATACAAAATTAGCCGAGGGTGGTACTGCATGTCTGTAATCCCAGCTATCTGGAGGCTGAGGGAGGAGAATCGCCTTAACCCCGGAGGCTGAGGTTGCAGTGAGCTAAGATTGAGCCATTGCACTCCAGTCCAGCCTGGGCAACAAGATTGAAACTCCATCTCAAAAAAAAAAAAAAAAACAGTGGAAGATGGAGACAACAGTGTAGGTCAGGAGGTCAGGGTAATGCAATATGAGAAGGACTTAACCCACTGCTGCTAGATTTCAAGATGGGGGAAATGATAATGAGGCAAGGAATGGAGGTCATTTCTAGAAGATGGAATAGGCAAGGAAACATTCTCCCCAGAGCCTCCAGAAATAAATTCAGCCCTGCCAACATCTTCATTTTATCTCAGCAACAGGAACTTCTGACTCTCAAAACTGTAAGATAATAAAGTCGTATTGTTTTAAGCCACTAAATTTGTGACCATTTGTTACAGCAGCAACAGAAAACGAATACAGGCATAAATCAAATAATATTTAGAAAGATTTTTAATGATGTAGAAATTATGTTTATGTAATCTTAAGCTAAAATTCAAGAATTCAAGAAAAAAATATATTAAATTAATGTGACACTGTTCAAACTTCCTTCAGTATTGCAAACCCTTGCTATCTGAATATACTAACATTTAATAACAGCCAAAACATAAGATTTAGAGTTAAACTTTTACTTGAATCTCATTTCTTTTTTTTTTTAATTAGTTCTTAGGGCCACAGATTAACTATATAAACATGATGATCTTTGGCTTAACCATCTGACCCTTTGTAAAACAGGGATAATTATTTCTACTCCATATGATCTTTGTGAGTTTTTAGTGAGATGATACACACAGCTTAGTAAAAACTGGCACATTATACACACTGGACAGATGGTTAGTTGGTGGTAAAACCACTGTTCAGATCCTTTATTCCATCCATTTCATAAGGTCAAGAAGACAGTTACATTAAACACTCTCTCCACTTTAGTATTAAAATCATTTTTAAAGGATGTGTTTAAATGAAAAGTTTTGGTAACTCTAATGCATATCTAACTGACATACTGTCAGGCAGATTACCAGAGAAGAGTGAAAGTGTTGAAGCAGGTACCATCATGCAAGCAGTATTGTGGCTCCTTAGCATTTGTTTACTTAAGCATAATCAATTCACCCCTACTTATTTTTTTGAAATCAACTTCTTGCCTTCAATTCTGTAGCAATGTTGTACCATATTTATCCAATGGCTTCAATATCAAAAGCAGTAGAGTTTTAATTGTAAAGCCTTAGAGTTGTGTTTTGGGGAAAGTGGGATGAAGAATGAACACTTGGAAGTGAATAACTGCCCCTACATCTTGAAATGCCATACAGTTAGAAACAGACTAGAGGAAGTGGATATATTATACATCATCTAGTTGAACAGTATTTTATGTATAAAGATAATGAGTTCCAATATCTTAAATAACTTGCTGAAGATTATACTACTTCGCATGCTAAGAATAAATCCTAGATATTCCTTTTCTTAAAAATGCATACTTTATGTTTCAATGTTTATGTATCATTTTATAACAAAAATCCCTTCCTTATGTTTATATTCTTAGTGTTGAGCTTTTTATTGAAAGCAAAAACTGCTCAGTATTCTTAGAGTAGAGCTGTTCACTGTTACTTTGCCTGTAAGGAAGAATTCTCACCCATGAGGCAGCAAGGCATACTGCTGTTGTCAACAGAGAAGGCAATGGGGCAGAAGGTGAAAAGACTGAGCAATATATAAAGATCCCTTACAGCAAAGTTCACCCAGGTGTTTCTCTCAAATTCCCAGCCCACTCCCTCCCACGCTTCCTTAAGAACAGGTGTGACCCCTGGAACATCAGAGAATCAGCAGGGGTAAGTGAAAGGTTATACAGAGTTGAACAGGAGCAGAAAATTTGAAAAATAAGCATATTTAATAAATAACACCTGTCTTCAATAGAGGTTTCAATATTTACAGTTCATTTTACCTTTGGTTCTGAG